AGGGGGAGGAGGAGGAGGGGGAGGAGGAGGAGGAGGAGGAGCAGAAGAAGAAGAAGAAGAAGAAATGTGTGGGTTCTAAAGTACAACACAGCAGGTCCCCTTTCGAAAAGCAATCCAGGGCTTTCTTAGTTATTTTCTCAAATTGGGCATTCTGTTGCAATCCTCTCTCTCTCCCGCTTTGTTTGCCAACTCTCATTACTAAAGAGTAATACTGTATTTTAGGCTTCAGGGCACAACTGCTTGTTTGTATGTTTTTTTGTTTGTTTGTTTGCTTGTTTGTTTGAGATAGACCTCGTTTAATTTAGTTTGATAAGTTTATGTAAAATGCTAAGGGGGAAAATGTAAAAATGGGGGGGGAGGGAGGAGGACTGTTTTTGGCAAAGAAATGAAAACACAACGTTCTCAGCAGAAGAAGTAGAGGAAACTACCTTCAGGTCAGACTTGGATGGTTTTCCGTCGACTTGATCAAAATATTCAAACAGTTGTCTCCACAGGGTGTTCTTGCGAGTCTTTTCATCATCTGTGAGGGGTGGGGGAAGGGGGAGAAGTTCATGAAAATAGCATAAAAATTTATCTGCAAAAACTTGAGGGTGTAAAACATTGATTATTACAGCTACACTTTATGTCACGCTCGTCTTGTCATGAACAGAGAGCAAAATTAAATGGTCATTATTTGTCTGAGTAAAACAATGCACATCCACACAATAACAACCATTTCGTGCTGGGAAATAACAAGACAGACAGACAGACAGACAGACAGACAGACAGACAAACAGACAGACAGACAGACAGGCAGGCAGGCAGGCAGGAAGGCAGGCAGGCAGGAAGGCAGACAGAGAGACAGACAGACAGACAGACAGAAACAACGGAGGGAAAGGAAAGAAGGATCTACTAGTATTTCCCTTCAAACACCCGCGCAAATAGTAAAGGAACATTAATACTCAATACTTAAATCAATACAGCCAAAATTCTCTAAAGCGGCCACCCATTGTCAAAAAGAAAAGTTGTTGTCTTAGACTGGTGGGTGTCTTACAGTGTCATTTTACTGTGAAAAAAAAAATTATTATAATAATAATAATAATAATAATAATAATAAATTACACTTTAATTTGTCCCAGAAGGGCACTTTGGTTAACAATGGCAAAGATACATATACATACAAAAATACATGATTATAAATATGCACGAGAAGAAGAAGGAAGTGGTTGTTAATACAGGTGACTGCCTTATACAGGTAGCTGTTAAAACAGGTGCCACTGTACTCAGACAACACACAATAGCCCACACTCACCTGCAGGGAGGTAGTCCTTGATGGGAGCCCCGTGGTCTTTGTACATCTTTTTGATGAGTTTCTCTGTGACCTCTCTGACCTCACCAGCGTTGTGCTGTAAAGCCTGCACGTTGAAGTTCATCACATTGTCCATGGTGAAGCCACTGGTAGGGGGAAGGGGCGGCATCAAATCAAGAAATGTTATTTCCATGTAAGGGGGATGGGAGAGGTGACGGACATTTCAAATCGTTATGTTGGTATACAGTATGCCAGTTCACCTGGAGAGCTGCCAGTTCCATTTGTCAAGTATGACCTTTGAACAGGTGCCTGATATCACTTGGTTGTTTATTGTCAAATAATAAACCTACGAAACCCCAGTCAATCCCTGTTATCTATAATCAAACTTAATATTCGTTACATGGGGTATTCATTTCTATTCGGTTCAATATTTTACTTTCATGGAAATACATTAAATAGGTAAAGGAAAAAATACTTGACGAGTAAATCAGTTGAAAATTGAAAGATGCAAATGCCTGAACAAAAACGTGGAATAACCTTCCACATTCTGTGTACTTAAAGCTAAGAAATACATTTGAGAGGCATCATGGTGAAATCAGGCGCTCGTCAAAATAATGAAATTAAAGAAAAAGGCTTTTCCTCTGGTTTGGCAATTTTTGTCGAATTTTTTTTTTAGGCTCAATATCTTTCACAGCCATTTAAAAATACATTTCTTTCTGAATTTCACTTTTTTTTAAATGTTGATAAATGGCACAAAATAAGTAAATTTTCAGTTTTCAAGGACTCTCAAGCTATTGAAGTAACCAAACTTTGGCGGCCATTCTCTCGCAAATTTTACCTCAGAAAACAGGCTACCCCCACCTCCTTCAATCGCAAATATCTCAACTTCTATTCAAGATGGATGGGTATTTTATTCACTGAAAGAAAGACAAGTAAACACGCTTCACAATTACACCAATAACTCCATATGCCTAAAAATTGACGAGCGCCTGATTCCACTGCGTCATGACACATTTTGCAACATAAGTCAAAAGATAGAGGTAGGCCAAGAGTAACATAGTTAGGGGGTCTACACTCTAGGGCAGCTGGGAGTAGTCGGGATACTGACGGTTTCGCTAGATTAAACAGCATTATTGTTAACAATAGCTCATTTCTGTCATATGTGTCTGACTGTTGGTGTGTTTGTAAGTATATATCATGAGTGAATGAGTGTATAGGCATGTGTGAAGAAAGGGCAAGTGAAAGAGTATGTGTATATAAATGTGTGCGCGCGTGTGTGTGTGTGTGTGTGTGTGTGTG